GAGGGAGATTAACCAATCAGCAGCATCCCTCGCATATGGTACTAGGTATTTTCAACATGGACCACACTTTATGTGACACGTGGGCTAAACGACCAGGTCGGAGACAACGTGGTTTAGGCCTACTAACCAGAGGGAGATTAACCAATCAGCAGCATCCCTCGCCACCTACATGGCTACTCTTCACCGAATAGCAAGATTAAGTGTCGAGGTTATAATGACCCCACATCTGAAAACGTGGGATTGCGCAGCTTGAACCTTGGACTGTCTGATCAAAATACCGCTACGCTAACTACTAGGCCATATGTGGCCACGTACGTTGTTATGAAGTTTGGTGTAAGGAGTTGACAGAGCTGAGAAATGGATGGGCTCTTTGTCAGTTTTTAAGAAATTAGGAGCTTATAGCACTCTGAGATGTTAGAAAATTATTGAGGGGAGCGGCAGCATTTTTAAGTTTCAAGAGCTACAAGAGCCCCTGTGATTTTGATTATAATCTGGTTACGAAGAACAGTTGCATGATCATAAAATATAAAGCGAAAGAAATATAAACGCCAGGTGTTTAACACAAGACGAAAGTAAAGACCTGGAAATGTGAGAGAAAACGGATAAACCAAAAGAGGCGAAGGAAGAAAGTAAAATGCTGCCAGTAAGTAATAAAACCTAATTTATCATGTGTTATTGGTTATAGTTATATAATTATGTTGGTTATAACCTTAATAACGTTGAAGGGAATGCGAAGCGATGTCAGGAGCGGGATACAATATTCATAGTCATATATAAATAACAGTCATAAATAAATAATGAAATTATAATTAACACCGCAATACCGATTAACAGAACTCAAAATAAAAGAAGAAGTTACCTTGGCAACTATACATCAAAGGTACAAAGGCTATTAATTAAAACGAAGAATATCAGAAAGAAAAACACGTGCATCTAACGAGAGTTTAAAATTTAGAGACAAGTCTATTTCCCCGCGGTTCTAGTAATTAAAAAACCTGATTAACGTTTAGCAAGAATCAGAAACAAAAAGTTTCACAAAGACTACGTCATCAAGGTTAATTATATCAAATGATGAAAAAAAACAAACAGAACTATTGTTGTTTAAGAGCACACCTAAAAACGTTTTGTCAAACCCATCTATATATATAAACGTCAATATGTGTGTGTATCTGTTCCTTATACGTTTGAATATATATGTACCTAAAGATCAATATGTGAAAAAAGCCTAAAGCTGGTGTGTGTATTTATGTAGGTTTTACTTCACTTGGGTCTTGCAAGTGAGTCCCCTGGTGTGACAGAGGTAAATCTACGGATTTGTAACGTTAAAATCCGGGGTTCGATTCCCCTCGGTGGACACAGCGGATAGCTCAATGTGGCTTTGTTCTAAAGCTCGAACTTACAGCATTACAAACATACGTCAGCTGAATCGTATATAATTGTTTTAATCATTACACGTATTGATCTTAAGTTACTAACTTACTAACTTACTTTATGTGTTAATTGTACCGAAATGATGGTTTGGAAAGATCTATTTTGGCTTTTCACGTTTTAGCATTAGTGCTAATGAGTTAATGGAGTGTAACATAGAATCTGACAGGAAATACTTAGAGTCAAAGTGGTACAGACAAATGGTGTGTGTGTGTGTGTGTGAAATGGCAATGGATTTGAACCTACAATAGTGAGGTTTAATTCAAACTTTCAATCTTTAAACTCGGTAATGAAATTGACTGCAAGGTTCAGTATCATGTATAAGGTGAGTTAAGACTGTTAAACTTTAACAGTTTGCAAAGTTCAATATCATGTATAAGGAGTTAAACTTTAACAGCTTGCTGAAACTGACTACAAAGTTCAATATCATGTACAAGGTGAGTTAAGACTGTTAAACTTTAACAGATTGCTGAAACTGGCTACAAAGTTCAATATCATGTACAAGATGAGTTAAGACTGTTAAACTTTAACAGCTTGCTGAAACTGGCTGCAAAGTTTTAATATCATGTATAAGG